TACAAAATTTTTCCCTCAAATGATAAATGTGAGAAAATTACAATAGGGGTACAGTAGTCCCTCACTATTTCATGGTTTGACTTTCACAGACTCACTGTTTTGCAGGTTTTCATAAAATATTAATCTAATTTATCACAGATTTTTCACTATATCATGGCATTCTGTAGTACCATGCAGTATATGTTTGTTGTTTAAATTATGTAGGTTTACAACTTCGGTAAACAGTTAAGAACATTAGAAGATTTTTTTTGTGTGAGAAGACCATTTGGTCTATCAGCCACATGGTGCAATAGGAAGCTACCTTGTCTAAGGAGATGTGGATGATAATGGTAAAAAATGGGATTTATAATTGGTTTCTCTTCTTTCAAATTCAAGGTACACAGAGAGACAGGCATACTCTCAATGAATTTCTCTATGAGAAACTGGTAACTTTTGTGCTCTTTTTTTCTTATTACACCTAATTAATGGAGCTAAAAGAGTCAATTAAACCAAATAGTGCATGTTATGGTTTGTTATCTATGTATCCCCCCAAAGCCTCATGCAGTCATTGGGACAGCTTCTAGAATTTGTGATTAATTCATTATCCAATGCTGAGATTATAGGTGTGACTGTTACACCTATCTTGGGAAACATAATCTGCATTACAATATAAGGAGGGGAGACAGGCTAGGTAGCTGCCTTTGCTTTTGGCTGTTTTCTCTGCCATAAGAGGTTGCCCTCTATCCTGTGCTACTCTGCCCTGAAGCTGCATAGGGACCGAAACCTCCACTGTGAGCTAAATAAACCTTTTCTTCCTTAATTCTGGATGTCTGGTATTTGTCCCTGCAATGAGGGAAAAATAAATAAGACAGTGGATTCTCTAGTTCATTTTTTTCCCCAAAACTCTAGGTCTTCACAAATACAAATCTAATATGCCAAGATATTTAATTATCTCATTTTCAAGAGCTGCAAGAAAGAATTACTCTTGTCTTTTTCACATTTTAAACACACAGCACTTTTGAAACTTCCCACAAATGATAGCTTAAAAGGATTAACTGCAAAGCTACAGCTAGCTAGATGGCTCCAAAAATAATATTGCTAGAAAAATGTTCTTAGAAATTAGAAATATAACATTTATTGTAATTTATCTGTATGGCTATACTAGCATCAAAAATTTTCTTGAAATTCACTATCACTTTTAAATATAAATCTTTTCTTAAGAGACAAACTATGAAAATTTCTAAAATTTAATATTTCTATCAAATAAATTTCCTAAATTATACAAGACTTTTAAAGACAATACATATGTAGTTATTAATCCAAATCTATGCTAATCTCTTATTACTCTTTCCTGTGACCACGGTTCCTAGCATACTAGTCTCTATGCTCCCTCAGTTCCACCAAGAGACATTCTTTCCACAGACACTCATGAGGACAGCCAGCCCTCACATGCACCTGTGGCTCAACTAGATCTTTACAGCTGGCCTATGTTCTAATAGACAGAATCCACCCTACACTAACTATTAAGAGTTTAATACTGTCCTTGCATATCATCAACAGGTAACTCCTACAGGGAGCTCAAAAGTTCTAGTACATCCTCAATGAATTTACTCTTTTAACAAACATTAATTGAATGTATCTGTCCTGGTGCAGTACTCTTCTAGGCACTAAAGATACAGCTACACTAACCAGTCAATGTAATTCTGCCTTAAGATGCTTACATTTCACTGGGAGGAAAGAAACAACTAAAATTATATTATATAATATAACCTCACATAAATACAGCTATCACACAGAGAAACTGCACAAAATGAGGACAGACAGCTATTTTAGACATAGACTTAGAGAAGGACTCTAATAAACTTATATGTGAGCAGAAACTGAACTAAGAACAGATCAAACACTTGTCTACTGTGTTCGCTAACTTATAGATGATGATACTGGGTGATGAATAACCCCTGCTTACAAAAATTAATTTCCAACTTACATATCTTTGCTCAGAATTTGGTAAGCAGCATAGGAAAAAAATCAGTCAGTGGAAGGTGAAGACTAGATGGGTTGGTTATTACTTAGCATTATTACCCTGCAAAAACCGTCAAGTTTCCTCTACCTCTGAATGAATAATTGTAAGGATAAACAGGAAAGAAAAATACTAGCCTGACTGTTACAGGCATTACAATAAACTTGTATTTTTATAGTTAGAGAAAAAAAAATGGGAAGAGAAATAGATGGGAAAAAATATCCTGAGAGCAAAATGATCTTCTTTATGTAGGCTAAAAATGAAGTCTAGCATGAAATGAAAATTAGATATTTCATAGTACCTTATATGGTCAAAGGCATTAACTTCTTACACAAATTAAATCATGAAATAGATTCAGTAAATGTGAGGACAAGTAAATTTTCAAATTGACAGACAATACACCATAACAAAATCCATATCCATTTGTTCTTCACTCATAATAGAAAATTAGCTAACTTTTACAACCTCTGCACTGTGATTATCTTTTAAGAGTGATTTATTCATTAAATAAAGTACATAACAATATTTACATCAAACTGAGAGGATAATTTGCATATTTTAAATACCAGTACTTCAGATTAATAGTGTCAGGTAGATAAGCTTTAAGCTCCTACCTCATAAAACCATTATATATAGCTCTTTAATCTTCTATAGCTTCCAGCGTACATTTATTTTCATAGCTACTGCCATAAAAGAATGAGATAATCAACTCCACAGAGTTGGAAGTTGGAGAGAAAGATAGTAATTGACTATATTATAGTCCAGAGAATCAAATCAATTATCTAGGTTCATTTCATGGATAATTTTATATTGTGAAGGATGTAGTTTTTATTTGACATTACGTATCACTACTCATGTCTAGATCAGCATGGTTTTTCTCTTTATTAGGGTTTTAGTATGTCAAGTTAGATCTGGCTAAGTCTAAACACAGTGCAAATATTTGATTGGCTAGTAAATGGGGGCATCAGTATCTCTGAAAATCTAGATGTACAATGTGCTACCCTAACATTGATAAAAGTATCTTTCTTTTTTCTTTTCTTTCTTTTCTTTTTTTTTTTTTTTTTGGTTTTTTGTTTTTTGTTGTTGTTTTTAGTGCAGGGTCTCACTACACAGATTGGACTCATAGTGATCCTCCTGTTTTCACCCTCTTGGGTGCTGGGATTACAGGCATGCGCCACCATGCCCAGTCTCAATCACCATCTCAGCATGCCCCACGGGTGAGGCCAACACAGTATGCTGCAGATCAAACTTCAGTCCCTGAGCCTGTCTAAGCAGGCACTTCATCCACTGAGCTATCTGGCCACCCAAAAGTATCTTTCTTCACTAAATTTGATTCATACAAGAATATACTAGATGTGAAGATTATATTTTCTAATATACAATTAAGTATATGAAATTCTTGTCATTTAAAAAGGAGATATAGTGATGAAGGACATGTGAAAGGTGACCCCTAGGTTTATTTTTTTTAAGAAGCTAGGAATCTGATAAGACATTTTTTGGCATAAACTCAGATAATAAATTTAGTTTGATGTAAAAAGAAAAAATTCTGAGAAATAGGAAAGATAAATCTGACCTAGAGGTATACATTTGCAAGTTATGGTGTATAAGCAGTAAATGACATGAAAATCACTTTGAGTAAAAAAGGAAAAAGGTTAGAATTCTGCAAAACAATACCATTTATTCGTAGATAAAAGAGGAAATATTAGCAGACTTTCTTTACTAGAAATAAAAGAATGACAACCACTTTAGAACAGAAAACTTTTGTGTGACTTTTTATTATTAAAGTAGAAAAATGGAGAAATCTTAACAAAAAGAACCCAATTTCATAACATAAAAGATAATACAAAAGACCAATTCCTTAGCTACAGAATTAAAATGGTGAGCAACTACTTGTCTGTCAAAATCATCTGGGAGAGGATTATTAAGGTTTAGCCCTTGAGTGAAGACTTACATACAAATGAGGACAGTCATTTCTAGAGTCACACAGGCAAACAGTAATTTCTCAAAATTAGCTGGATCTAGGTTACATTTGTAGGACTAACACTTCAAATTAAAAGCCACTTCTGGATCTATAAGACCAAATCAATAAATACTGCCTATCACATCTGATGACTGTGGTATGTTTACGCTGTTCTTCGTATTAAGGCACTCTAAGGAAAAACCCTTGTTGACCCCAATCCAATTCCTCAATCAGTGAAAATGCTTAGATACTAAGGCAGCTCCCTGTTGCACTTTGTTTTAAATTCCTCAGGTCTTGTCTTAAAAATATAAACTTTTCTCATACCCATACCTTACCCCATAAATAATGCACATAAAAATAACATATTCTGTCATAGATTTTGGAAGTAAAAATGACTTTAAAACCACCTCTCATCCACATACCTGGTTCTACATAGACATGTCATGATTTACTCCATTTGAGAAAAGGAATAGTTTTTAAAGTTCCAATACCTTGCAATACATTGGAAATTGTACATTCTAAAATTAAAATTCTACTTTATTCCTAACTGCTAGACATCTACACTTCTATAATTTAGTCTTTTATATCAGCAATCTTTCTAAGTATTACTATTAGAAAATAAAGAAAGGCTTCAAATCATTCAAGAAACACTGGGAAACAAAAACAAAAACCAGATTGTTCACATTCTGGTATACACTGAATAGGAAGGCAATCTTAATAAAATTAAGGATTTTTTTTTGGGGGGGGGTTGGCAGGCTCAGGATGCCTTCAGGGCAGATCTAGTTTGGCTTGAGGATGTAGGATTGAACCACAGCATCCTGAGCCTGATTGCTTTGTTTCAGCAGGCACTTAAACACCTTTGCTAATGGGTAGGCCCCCTTAATAAAATTAAGGACACATAGTTCATCTGCATTGGTAGCAGCAGCATTCAGAATACATTTTTATTTCTGAATTTCTAGCACATGATCTAAGAACTTTACTTACAGTGGGAATATTAATCCAAAACAAAGAAACAAACATAAATATATAATAGTCACCTACCTTAGGAATAGGATTCAGGAGAACTACACCTGATTTCTTAGTGATGACTTCTTTTGTTGTATAGTGATGATCTATCAGTTGAGGGATGCTTGAAAATCCAGTACCCTCAAATCGATACAGATTCTAAAAGATAAAAACAAAGTAAAATAAATATGAAGACAATGCTTCAGAAAGACTACATTCATCATAAAGTAAGCTCTACTTAATGAAAACGATCATTGCACAACAACATAAATATACTCTACACCACTGAACCATACACCTAAAAATGGATAAAGGGGCAAAAAATAGAAACATATTGAAATATAAATACTAAAGTCTACCTTTTGACAAAAAATAATTTGCAGAAGAAGTAAACCTAATTCAAACTGTTAAGACAGTAAAAACAGAAACTAACAATTAAAATGCCTTAGCAAGAATGATAAGTATAAGAAATCAAAGCATGGGACATATTTAAGTTAGGGAAGAAGGAATGTGTTTATGTACAACTACATAAACTATATGTTCCATCGGACAAAATTTCCAATATCAAAAATAGTATCACAAGTATGTATTATAACTAATACTTGAATGCCTCCGATTATCAATTTCCTACATATTAATAGAGAATTAGCTGCTTTTTTATTAGTGTGTGTGTGTGTGTGTGTGTGTGTGTGCGCGTGTGGTGTGTTTGAGACAAGAGTCTCACTATGATGTTCACACTAGCCTTGAACTCACTATGTGGCCCAGGCTGGTTTTGAACGCTCAGTAATGCTCCTGCCTCAGCCTCCCCAATGATGGAATTATAGGCATGTGCCACCATGCCCAGCTAGTTGCTTTCATATATTGGAATTTTCATCAGTATTTATTACTAAAAAAAACACTCCTTCATATACTTTTGATGAAGAAATAAAATGTCCCAGGGACAAACCTTTGACTATTCACATTCTCAAATCTTAGCATTTTTTTATATTACCAGGTAAGTAGCAGACCCCAAATGCTGCCCAGACCCCTCTGCTGTCTTCATATTCATAAATGCAGGTGGGTAGCTTATCATATAAATGAAGTGAGACTGTTAAATGAAGTCATTAAAAAAATCTCACTGGCAAAGACTTTTCAATGCAAGAAACATTGCAACGCAATGTAATTAAAGCTTCCAAATGATTATTCACCAAGCTTTCATCTGTACATACACAGGAAATGTGTCGATATGTATCTGGGTATGCATCATTTTAAGAAAATTTTAAAACAGAACTTTCTTATTTTATACAACTAGAGAGTAGATGCAGCATCTAGCAAAAATAGAATAGGGTAGGAAGGAGAGAGGGATGAAAAATAAGATGTTGGTTAATAGGTTCCAAAATACTTTTACCTGAGAGGAAAAAGGGCTAAATAGCACAGCAGATGACTATAGTTTACCACAATTTACTATAAATTTTATAAAAACTAGCAGAAAGGAGTTGGAAGGCTCCCACTACTTTGGGGAGGGGGGGATGTTTAAGGAGATGGATTTAATTGCTACATATTGAATACATATATTGAATAATACAGTACAACTATGTTGCATCAACTAAAAATTTTATAACTTGGAATATTAAAACTTGTCTATATTTGGATATATTCTATAATAACTGGAAGATTGTTTTCTAAGTAAACAGCTAAAGACTGAAATATATTTTATAATATAAAATAAATCTCAGTTTACCAGAATTCAACTTGTATACAATTTTTTAGATACAACTTTTGATATAAGTTTATATACAACTGTATCATTTGAGGAACAAAGACACATTAAAGAGTGGAGTCTCGGGCTAGCCAAAATAGCTCAGTGGATTAAAGTACTAGCAAGCAGACCCAGGGGCCAGGGGTTCGATCCCTGAGGCCTGCCATGCTAGCACCAAGGATGCACTGAGAAGGCAATTGAGACTGAGTATGGTGGTGCACTCCTGTAATCCCAGCTGTTGGGAGGCTGTAAACAGGCTGTAAGATGCAGTAAAAAAAATTATGCTTACTTTACCATTTAAGAATATATAATTAACATGAAGCAATGTTAATTATATACAGTTACAGACAATTCAGAAGTTATTAATAAATTGTCTAGAGAACTTTTCTATATAGTTAGTAGATCAGCTGTGATACATGAGCTCTGATGTTTTAGAATATTTCACATGGAAGATATAAATATATTTCTAAGTAAGATCTCTCACTATCTCAGCCTTTTTTTTTTTGTATTTAGTACAGGGTCTACAGAGTCTCATTACACAGATTAGATTCAGTGATTCTCCTGTTTTCAGACTCCCAAGTGCTGGGATTACAGGCGCATGCACCACCATGCCCAGTAGTAGTCACCTTCTCAGCACGCCCTGGAGGCAGGGCCAGCAGGCAGGCTTGGGATCAAGCACAGGGCCTCTGGAAGCTTTAATCCACTGAGCTATCTGGCTGGCCCTATCTCAGCCTGCTCACTGGTGAGACAGAGACATTGTTTGGGCCTCACAAATAAATATAAGGATTGACGCTATGATTTTTCAAACCAATTTTTCCAAGATATGGTATATAATGCACTCAATTACTACACAAACAGTAACTCCTTCAAAACTACTCCAAATCAGGA